CAATGCTTGGAATTCTCTGCTTGAACAGAAGGGTTTGCTGGGCAAAGGAAAATGGTTGGCAATCGAAAACATGCCAAAGGACAGCATTTTCCTTTGGAAAAGTCATTCAGAAGCAACTGAATTCATCCAACATAGGTAGGTAATAAAAATAGGAAGTAACTGAAAAGCCACATGTAAAATTAGAAGAATACTGAAACTGATGTGGAGAAAATGGTTCTCACTTTTGGACATAACCATTCAAAGTCCATTCAGGAAACTTTCAGCCATTTCTTCCCTGAACAGAATGACTTTCCTTACTAACTGGGTACATTCAGATAGTAAACTGTAGCATGTTTTAGCTGGGACAACTGCTTCAATAAGCTCTCAGATAATCACTCTATAAGCAAAAGTGAAATATTGAGCCAGGTATGGTGGCACATGCCTGTAATACCAGCACCTGGGAGGATGATGAATTCAAAGCCAGATTTGGCTACACAGCAAGCCCATCTCATTTTTTAAACAAAAGTAGAATACTGTTAAAGAAAAAGAAGTACAAATGTGGGATGGAGACCACAACAACCAAATAAATTTTGTATTGAAATTTTTTCGCTCAAAAAAAGTTAGTCAATTGTGAAATTATTAAAAAATAAAAGAAATAGAATGCCTTGACAATAATCTAGGGTCATCATTCTTTTCCATTTAACTACATGATAAGTGGAGGCCAGTCCATGACATAAATCAAGCAGGTAGGCAGATGAGGCAAAAGGGTCTTCATAAAGCACGCACCATTTTAGGATCAGCATAATCCACTGACAGACACTGGAAACGATCTTCCCATTTGCTGTCTCATTTTTCAAGTGCCCATTACGCTTAAGAGGGAAAATCTCCTCAAGGAAACAAATCCTTTCCTATATTCCTCACAAAATTTTCTCTGCAGAGATAATTTTACGGACAGGTTTTCAAAAGCTTTAGATTGAACCTCTGAATAAATAAAAGGCTAACAACAGTACTGATAAAACACCTCTGCAAAAATCCCAGTATTCCTCATTCTATAAAGAATACTACTAATATATTTAAAATAAATAGTTCAGAAGACATTTTAAGCACATGTTTGCCCATCAGTCATTCTTTAAGACCCTTTGCAGTTACTAGCTGCTACTAGTGTTGTCTATTACTTATACAGAAAAACACTAACTTGCCTCAAGGGAAAGCAGCTCTTTTTACATGGGTAAATGAAAAACTCAACTGAACATTACCATTTGGATTCAGCACTTTGCATTATAATCATCCTTTATGTTAAAGCACCCCTGTTTGCAAGGCAACACACACACACACACACACACACACACACACTCTCTCTCTCTCTCTCTCTCTCTCTCTCTCACTCACAATCAAGCCCTCTGTTAGTGTGGACAGAGCTCTGATAAAGCTTAGAGAAAGGAATGGTACTAAAAGGACAACATGCAGAGAAACTGGTACAGAAGCACCACCTAGTGGACGCTGGAGACTCAGTCACCCATGCTGCTGCTTCAGGAAGGACCAACTTGTTTATTTCTTTTTTTTTTTTTTATCCACTGTGACAATTCTGAACAGCCTTACACTGTACACTGGTTAGTTTGCACCCGCTATGATGTATGGTATTTTTACCTAAATGTGTGTCACAGACATCTGCAGGTATGTGAGCACAGCTCTATATTGTCATGTGAATAGACTTTATATGACATAATTAAATTTAGTCAAGGTACCAATCATTTAAGAATGGAAAATATTTCACAAAGAATATGTTATATTCACAACCAAGATAAAGCAGTGTTATAAAGAAAAATGGTAAGTTTCACTATTTTAGATGCAATCATCAGATGTCTATATAGCACCATAAATGGGGGTGAAAGAAACTGGGCTATCTTTCTTTGCTGTTCTCTCAAAACCTCTCAAGGATTGGTGTAAGTAACATTCAGTCATTAAGGAAGCAAGCATTCACTAGAACAACCAGGATACAGGCATTTAGAGGACAGCCTCAAGAGTAGGACCATTCATTCTGAGGGATACTATACCAGTAACAGGAGACAACCTTCAGGACAGAGAACCAAGGGTGATTTTAAAATGCACTACTTGAATTTTTACAAATAAATGTTATTTTTATAATTAAAAACTTGATACATTTGCTAATATTTGTCACACTAAACATTTAATTCCTTAACATGTGGAAATCTTGCCTAATTCTTAAAAATATCTTATTTGTCTGCTTTTAGGGGGTTTTGGTGTTTTATTATTATCTTTACAATTATTGGTCAGAGAAGAAGATTCCAAGCTTTCCTACAGAAGTCCATGAACTAAAGAATTAACACTCCTTCTCACATCTTTTCACAGTCACTTAGGGGACCATTTAAACTATCCATTCATTTCCATCTTAGTTACAAAACTTCAACTACCACATCCAGACCATCCTGATCCCACTGCTCATATTGCCCAACATAGTCCCCAGTTCCATAAAAAGGCCACACATTTTCTTTATAAAGTGAAATTCTTGATGGAGCTATGATGGGGAATAATAGTGTTCACTTACCCTTCTCTGAGAACAAAAGACAGTAGACTAAATTCCTAAGAGAGAGGCCCAGAGACAACACATCCAGCTTCCCTTGGGGAACAGAGTTGTAAGAAAATAAGCAACAGTCAGGATGAGAGAGTTTCAGCAATAGTGCCTGAAATGTTCTATAGTAGAAAGACCTTGAGCTAAAAACAAGGACTGAAGAAATTCTAGAGTATTAAGTCCACCTATAAGACATGCTCCAGTATGTTAAGGTCATGCAGTTTTAAATTCTCAATTAAATATATAATAGGAAGGACTAACCTAATGATCTGTTAGCTCATAATTGAACAAAATTACCTCAATTTTAAAGACAATCAAAGGCCTATATTTTCAAAGAAAAAACTGTTCAAGAGGGAAACCAGTGGAAAGAGTTTCATGGAACTTTTTTTTACTAGATCAGAAGATAACAGGCCAAAGAGTTGGGCATATAAAGTGACTTGTATCTATTTATGACCAAGTAAATCCCTTAGTAATAATAAAAGCTTCTGTATTTCTCTGTAATCTCTTTCAGATAAGAGATAATGAAATTTGGTTGAATACATTTTTGCTAAGTCAAGACTAACCAAGGGAGGCAAGAAAGAAAAACACTGAACAATTTAAATAGAATTGGACAGCTGAGTCTGTTATTGACAAATCTCAGTAGATATTCTATAGTTGGAAAGTTAACAGTAACCCAGGAAATGTATTAATCTTTATCCTCATTTCAAACAGAATTTGAGGATGGTTATGCAGATTTACAACATAACAGGAAAAGAATTTATAAAGATAAATAATTTAGGATAAAACACAATAAAGGATTAAATAAAATGAAGGTAGGAGAAAAATTAACTTGGGAATGTGTGCATTAATACAGAAATTCAGAACTGGAAATTAATACTAACTTATGAGGTAAAAAAGAATCTGAGCCACTCACCAATTTTAACCTCTGTAAAGGTATTCTGCCTACATCTATTTGTGTCCTTTCTGGGACATTAGTGAATCGAACTTCTGGAACTGCAACAGCGCACATGACGTGGGCCCACCTACAGAAAAGTAGACATTAAACATAAATAAGCAAACGTTCCCTAAACTTACATACCACTGTACTTCAACCTTGCAATGCAATCTCACAAATGGAAAATACAGATGAGAAAGAAAGCTTAAAGCCTAAATCCATCTCAAACAGATTCTGAATTCTAAAGCTCCTGGATGACACCTGACTATATTCAACACAACACTATGACATGAAAACTTAGGTAAAGACTAAGGACTCAGTCCTGTTAACATAAATACATTTTTCTATACTTGATATGGAGAATACTGAAATGTATGTTGCCTGTTTCATTTCATGCTAAAATATGGTTAATGTACTTTAAGCTAAGTGATATATGGCAAAAGAAGAGTTCAATTAATAAAAAGGTATCAACTGGCTATTGCAAAAATTTTCTGTAAGAATACTAATTAAGTTTCTAATTAAATTGTTTCTCATGGCAATCCTATTATAATCAAAGGAACCTATAGACAAGGAGAAATGAAATTTTGCTTGTTCCCTGGTCTTCTCCTTAAAACCTAGAATCTCCTTTACATTCTGAATTGTTCTCAAAAAATGATAGTTTTCCTATAAATATTATGCAGTGCCTCAGAAATGCTATACTTCTAAATAAATATGAAGACTCATGAGGATTAAAGAGATCTTAAAGAATTTTCAAATCCATCAACATGTTTTAAGCCAAAGCATATCTGTTTCTACTAAGCATCAGACTCATCAAGACCACAGGAAGACAGGACAAAAATCAACTCCACAAGGAGATTCTTGCATTTTTAAATAAAAACTGGCATACTATATAGGAGACACAGTTGTTTTTGATGTTAGCTGAAAGGTAGGAAGAGAACTTCTGAACACGTCTGTCTTTACAGGAACCACCCTAACCGATCTCACAGTATGTGGGGCCTATATAACATCCAAGAACTAGTGAGGACTTTCACTAGAACTGGCTAGATCTGTGAAACATGCTCTCAAATCAAGCAAAACTGCAGTTTCTTAAACTAAACTTTATCAGCATTAGCTTTACTTGTTCTTCTAAACAATCAGAAATAAGTGGACATGCACATGATTAATTCTATCATTACAAAACACCAGCAGCCCCAACTCCACTGCCCATGACATCAGGTAGGATGCAAGCAAATACAACCACATAGGGAAATAATGGTGAGCTGGGGACTCACTCCTGCCCCAAAAAAGCCAAATCCTCATCCTAAACTTCTTGTTGTTGCTAAACACACATGTGAAATAACTTTTATAAGTAAAGATGAGAATCTAGATTTTTATGTAAAAATCTCTCAATTTTTAAACTTTGGATGAAATTTATAAAATTGTGCATGGAGCAAATACAGTGCTGGATCTGGCACTGAGGTATGCAAAGTAAATAGCTATGTTTTAATGTCATTGCTTTGATTTCATTTACCTAAAGATAATAGTTTCACTGATTTCAGGTATATTCTGCTTTTAATAGACTAATAATAGGATTCATCATATTAAACACTAGGGATTCTAGTGGTACCTAAACAATTATGGACAGCTCCATTTTAAAAACTCTGTTAGTGGAAAAGGATTATTTTTCATGGTGCAAACAAATAGAGCAGAAGCAAGCCCTAGAATAGTCTTGTCCATGCTGTCAGCAGTAGTCTTTGAAGCACATGAGCCCAACCTGAAGTGTGGCAGCAAAGCTTGAGGACAATGTGTGCAGGGAGATGTAAAACAAAACCTCATGCAGAGGTTCTACAGAAGAGAAAGAGATGATAAAATTCAACATAGTAATGCATTACTTACTTATTGTTCTTAGTTTGCTTAAGAGCACCACCTCTCAAATTGCAGAGACAGCATTCCTAGGGGGAAAGAAAATACCACACAACTATCAGACCAATATAACAAATCACTACCATTCATCTAAACAGTCATGGAAACTCTAATTTTTCATTTTAAAATTAAACTCATCAGGTACAAAGGAAATTCGAACTCAAGAAGGGAAAGAAAAAAAGAGAGCAAGGAAGGTAAGGGTATAACTCCCCAAATGTTCTAGGTATATATGTCTTCTAGAAGAAAACATCACACTCCTGGAATTTTCAATTGCCACTTTTCAGGAAAGCTGTGACAGAAAACATGGGAGCCTTGAGAGATATGAACTAGAACCCTGGAGCACAGAATATACATATTACTGTGAGAATACACTCACGGACACAGGTAAGTTTGTTTATAGTGTGAGGATAATCAAGAGGCTACTTTTTAAAAAATATACTTTTTACTAAAGTAATAGTATTTTAATAGACTATTTAATAGTATTTTAAATATTATAGTATTTACTAAAGTAATAGTTGGGTCTCACTCTCTCATAGGCAATTTGTATAGGAAAAAGAGTTCCGCAGGCCATGAAATGCTTTCCTTGATCCTGTCCATGTAAGGTTATCTTTTGAGCAAGTTCATGTGGTCTAGCTTGGCATACTCTCTGCCACTCTGAGGTGACATGCATTGCTACAAATAGAAAACTTATTACTTATTTCTTACTACACTTCTGAAGGGTAAAGTCCAGGAAAACAGGGCCAGACAGTAGTATATTACATTTGTTGACCTATATTTTTTTGTGTATGAAATACCTAAGTACCTTTGTTATTTTTAACTTCAAACTTGTTCTCTTATTTAAAAAATAGATTATTTGGGATTTTTTTTCCTTCACACTATATACATAAAATTTTGGTACCCAGTCCTCCAAAGGGATGCCTCTTTACTAATTTTGACAGTTTTGTCTAGCTTTACAAGGAGTCCCTTTAACTAATCTTCAAAAACTTTACAACATTTCTTTTCTGAGATGAACAACACAAAAGAAACTGAGAAATCCACACATCTTTGATCACTCATTAGATAGCAAAAAAATGTGAACAATGGTTTTGTGTGTCTGGAAAGTCTCTATTTCTTTGAAACTTCCTGGATGACTAGTAAAGATTCAGACTTGCAAAATTTGCCCTGGGTATATTCATTTGAATACATTGTAAATCCACCTCAAAAAGATAGCAGCTAACAGAGGATTTTTCTCTATCAATACCATAGTGTGATATCCTAGACATGTTTAGGATACTGGCTTTGATGAAGCACACCAAGATAGAAAAATTTCACAATCCTATGGTATTGAAAATGAGAAATGCCAGTAATTCATTAAAAATTTGATTGTCAGTATATTTTTCTAGTAATTTAACACACTTTCTACACAATAAATAAAAATGAATAAAGAACTCTAGGTCAAGGCTTTCACTGTATATATGAAGGTATTAGTGTCAATGCAGGAATGCAGCAGAGAACTGTGGGTTATAGGGAACTCAGACTCTAAGAGAATCAAACATTTGATCAAAGACACTGGTAGTGAGAAGAAGCTTAAGGTGACCACTTAGAAGAATTAAATACAGCAAAGTAGTATGGAAGCTGCCTTAATGCTCCTGATTCTGATTATTACAAAGTGTACATCTTCTAGAGCACTAATGTATTGAGATAAAAAAAAAATCCCCTATGCAATACGCAAACACAAGATTTTAAGTGAAGTTGAGAAGATCCCAACTCACCCACAAAACTTATTCTATGATTATCAGTGATCCCCATATCACAAAATCTAACAGACAACTCCCAAATCCTTAGTTTGACTACTTAGGTGCACTCAACAGTGCTGGTCATCTCTAAAACATCTTTCCCTACGGATTCCATGACTCCAACTCCCTTTGTTGTCCACCTCCGTCTCTAGCTGACCCTTGGCTTTCTGCAATCAAGCTTCTCACTCTACTCAAACACCGGAATTTCCGAAATTGACCATATCACTTCTCTCTATGTAACACACTTGCTCGACATATGAACCACAACCCCTACCCCAACCCCGAACACTTTCTAAAGGCCAGTGACACCTATTTAATTCTTCAGGTATCTGGATGACATCTCCACAGTGTCTCTTAATGTACTGGTAAAATTGAACCCTTATCCTCATCATAAGTCTGTTTCCCATCAGTGGAACCAGCAATCCATTCTTGCTGACGCTGGAAGATACGTTTGTCCTCTCATCCTAGATCTTATCACGTTAGTTCCCTCAGTTCCAGCTGCAAATCCACCCTGCTCTATCATCACTGCTGACCCATTAGCTGATAGCTCTGGCATCCTTCACAAGATTTAACCTACCACAACCTAAAAAAGTAGGTTTTCAGTGCTTCTCAGTACTTAATGTGGCCTTGTAGTGCCAGGCATATCAGGCTTTGGTCTTGTGAAGCCTCACTGTGCACCACTCTCTTTGCTTAAACTATCCAAAGATCCCATGAGGTTGCTTCTGCCATAAAACTTCAGAGCCAGCCTGTTCCATACTTTGTCAATTATTACAAATACATTCTTGACATATCAGCCTAATTGGTACTTCCTCAGAAAAGACTCTCTCAGCCCCTTGTTCAGTCACTTCGCACTCATGTGTTCCCATTGGAACCTTTTATAGATGCTGCTCTTTTATCATTTCATTACTCCTGCAACTAATTATTGATACCTATTTTTGTCCCCACTAAATTGTAAGCTCACTGAGTGCTGTGAGAATATCAGACTATGATATTATGATACTCAACAAGAGAGCACACCCTTAATATGAATTTCTAAAATAAATAAGGAAACATGGAAAAACATGGGGGTGAAGTGAAAGTCTTAAAAATTACCAAAGGATTAAAAAATTGCAAAGACTGTATTAACAACATGGGGTTCTCTAAGGAAATGATGGCACAGGCTTCAGACACTTGACGTGGATTAAGAAAAAATGACCTGCTAACCATGATGTAAGTATAATAATTTGTGTTCCCAATATGTTTCAGTAATCTGGCTAATAAAACTTCTCATTAATATGACATCATTAAATTCATTCTCAAACCCTCCTTCCAAATTATAATTCCATTTCAACAAAACTAACATTTTAGTTATTCCATGCAATCTAACTTCAGGCTCAATGAATCAAGTTTAACTGAAAATTATAACAATGAGGGTAGAGAGAACCATGTTCACAGTGTTAAAGACAAAGCAGATGACTAGGTTCAAATCACAGTTCTGCCACTTATTAATGGTAAGACCTTAGGCCACTTACTAAATCTCTCTGCCTCAAATATCTTGATTGTAAAGGGGAAAACATTTTAACTTCAATTAATTTGTACATGGAAAGCATTTCTGTAAATAAATGCTAAATATAAGAGAAACAGTGTAAAGATTAACTGTGGTTTCTAGATAGCGTAAATATAATATTGCCAATGGATGATCTCAGTGTAGTCCTTTATCAGGGAAAAAAAAGATAGATCTTATAGGACTGTGATTAATTAATTGTATGAAGTGCAGAAAGCAAGAAGTAGAACTGGAATGAAAAGAGCTTTGCAGGAGCCCCAAATCCAGGAAACTGTGCTCAAAAGCAGTGAGAGATATTCTCTGGTTCTAGAAGCTGTCAACTCAACTCTGAAAAGCAAACAGATATCCAGAGTTTCCATAGTGCTCAGATAACAGACCAAACTCATCCTCTAAACATCTGAGAACAAAGTGAACTGAGTCACAATAAATCTGCAACAATGTTCAGATTCAACTTACCCGTGAATCCAACTGACTTTGCCCTTCTCTAGGAGTCTGACACACAAAGGCACATGTCTACCCTGGAACCAATATCATCCCAATCAGTACTAAAAAAGGTTTCAGCATACAACAAAAGTACAAGGTTTGCTATAAAACAAAAAACTTTATGATCAAGAGAGGAAATAATTAAAAACAAAACCCAAAACTCAGAAATAGAGAAGATTTGGAATTACTACCAAAGGACTTTAAAATTAGTATACTGGAAATACTGAAGATATAAGAGAAAATCTAGAAAACATAATTAATCACAGGAAAAGTAGTTAAAAAGTAAAATGGTGGTTTCTTTGCTTCCTGGTTGCCATGAATTGAGCAGCTGTCCCTGCCATACACTTCCTTCATGATTTGCTACACACCTAAAATGAATGGAGCCTGCCAACCAAACTAGAATTTCTGAAACATAAGAAAATGATTTTTTGTCAGCAGAGAGGCCATGTTGCAATGACAGAAAAACTTATCCTCTTTAATCTTCATAGTGCAGAAAAAGATAAGCAGGGAAACAGTGCCTTGCACCTGGCTACAATGCACAGCCCAGTCCAGTAATGCAGGTGCTGCTAAATCAGTGACAGGAAGTAAATGAGCCTAGTCTCTTTGATTTGCAATTACCCAAAGCTGCTGATGTTGAGCCTCTAACACATCCTTATGGTCAGTTGTGTATCTTATATGGATAAAGCCATATTCGGGTCCTTTATCCATTTTTTAAAAAATTGTGTTATTTATATTTTTATGGTTAGATTTAAAGAATTCTTTGTGTGTTCTACAAATATGCTTCTGAGCAAATAAATGATATGTAAATGTTTTCTCCAATCATAAAAAAAGAAGTAAATGAGTCTAATGAGAAGGGAGAAACATTCTTTTTAAATGTTGAAGGAAGTCAGGAAGAATGCAGCAAAATGCTACTGGAAGCAGGAAGTAACATGAGCACTCCAGACAAAATCAGAAAACTATAATTTAAAAAATTTGAGGAACTGAGCCAGAATTATACAACTAGTCAATGGCAGTGAAAGAATTCAAACTCATGAGTGATTGCAATGCCTGAACTTAACCACTACTATGCCTTGTCTTTAAAAGGATTACTTTTTCTATTTTTCTAATTAATATTAAATTATAATGAAAATAACTCGTGACAAAAATTTTAGTAGTACCTAAGGGTATATGATAAAAACTGTCTTATTCCAACCTCATATCTCAATTTTACTATTGGAAACTGATACCA